TGGTATGTGAAGTATATCTTACATATTAAAATAATTATTTTAATGTCTTAAATTATATCAGCAAACTGGTGAATTACCTCCCCTGCTCATACCCAAAGCTTCAGGAGTCTTAGGAAGATATTGACATTAACATGCTTTTAATATCCCAGGGAAATCTTTTTGTTGGATTCTCACTATTACTAAGGAATTTGGGGGCGGTACAGTTAACACACTCAGCTGCTTACCAAAGCGTTGGAGGTTTGAGTCCACACAGAGGCACCTCGGAAAAACACCTGGTGATCTACTTCCAAAAAGCCAGCCATTTAAAATGCTGTGGAGCACGGTTCTACTCTGACACACGTGGGGCTGCCGTAGGTGTGAGTGGGCTTTTCAGCGAGTGGTTTCAGCCAGGGTGGGTGAACTAAGCTCAGGGTGTAGTTTGCCACTTGGCCACTAGGTGGAACCCCTCCACTTGTTCACCAGGTTGCTTCTGGCCCATCCCAGTTGCATCCATCTTTTCTGGGTTTTATTACGTGGTGGTAATTAAGCTTGATTAGGTAGAAGGATTTTTGGCACTCCCCATCATACTGTAATATTCTCCAACAAGCAGTCAAACAGGTTAATGGCATGTCCACTAGACTTGGCTTAGGAGCAACCCCACAGACAAGTGGGTCTTGGCCAGTAAGCCACTTGCGTATCAAGGCCCAACTGTGCTGCTCCCCCAGGGCTGGGGACTCAATGGGAAAGTAATTGAGTCCCATAAAACTAACTATTTCAATGAAGGTGGTGACGCCAACTGAATGTGCAGCCTAATGAACTTGGTTCTTATTTGGCCTCTTGGTTTTCCAAGATGGTTGTCAGCATTGTGTAATTAAGAAGTCCAAGTGCCCACCATGATGAGCCATCCAGAGACAGAACATAAAACATGGCCCTGTCCATTCATTACAACTCCCACATTCCTGAGGCCCTGAAGGAGTCAGGGTTAAAGCTAATAAGCACACAAAATCGTGTGCATAAAAGTTCATGGCAGCATAAGTCCCAGTCGCCAAAAACTCACAACCACCCAGTGTCCGTCACCTGGTGAATGAATGAACTGCAGTATATCTGTACATGTGGGGTCCCCAGGAGTCGCTGTCTACTCCAAGACAGATGGTTGGGTTAGGTTTCTTTACCCACACAATGGACTAAAGCAGTGGTTCTCAATTACAGCTGTACCTTCGAATTACCTAGGGAATTTTCAAAACTTGAGCGCTCCAACCCAAACCAGTTAAATAACATATACTGGGAATGGGATCCAGGCAGATAGACGTTTAGAATATCCCCAGGTAGATTGAACGTGCAGCCAGAACACCACTGAACTGAAGGAATTAGGCTGAGATCCCAGGGGAGAGCCAGCTTGCCCGCCTTCTGTCCCTGCAGAGCTGCACTTGGGGGCGGGGGCTACAGGAGCCCAGAGTGCTGCTCCTAGGTGCTGGTCTGAGCATGGAGCTGATGAAGGGTGGCACCGAGGAGACGAGCCGAGGAAGGTGAGGAACACCCGTGCGGACTTAGTGCGCCTGTGACTTTCCCCAGACCATGGGGCCTCTTTGAACCCACAGAAAGCACACGTCCGTCCGGGATCGGCTCTGGTTCTTAGAGCTGTGAAAGGAAGCACCTG